CGCTTATCCTCTCTCACCTGGCGCCGGAGCCAACCGCTGCCAGAACCTTTGATGTACTCACATCAGAAAAAAGGACCCCAGGAGACTCCACCCACAACAATAAACACCAAATTAAAACAAGTTGTACCTTCAGTTATGGAAACAGCCCCTGAAGTGGAGGTTAAGTTGAAACCTTTGATTGATATCGTTCCTGAACTTAGATTGGATGTTCCTATAACAGGGCTGGACAATATTGATGGTTTCAAAAGTGATGATGTTACTTCTATTAAGAACATTCAAGATGGATTGGGAGTAGGATTGACTAAGACTGATAAAGTAAATATCCCACACGGGGGCAAACTATTGAATAAATTCCACTTTTGGTCCTACAAGTTTGATGTCAATTCCACATTTAGTTCACGTCTTTCATTTTGTCCACTTTTGATACATGAGTATTGTGTTTTCGCCCATATATGGTCCGTTTCCGGAGATTAAAATCACCCGAAAAGGACCACAAATGGTCAAATAACAATAGTCAAAGTATCAAAAGTGGACAAAGTAAAAGACGTGAACTAAATGTGGAATTGACATTAAACTCGTAGGACCAAAAGTGGAATTTATTCGCAAACTATTGATGCTCTGGCTAGAAGAAGTGAAGAGGATAAGACAAACAGAAAAGTTGTATGTTCAGAAACCTGTGAGCTATTGGGATGGAGATATCATGATTACAGATTTCTTATATGAGAAGACAGTGGGAAAGTTTGAGGAGCAAGATATTAAAACCAAAGAAAAGGTGAAATTGAAACAAGGATTGAAAATGGCCATGTCTTCTCCTGGTGAGGGATCTGCTTACCTGCTAATGGACCAACTTGGGAAGTTTTACATGAGAGATAATCCTTCTTGTTCTTTAGTTAGGAGAACTGCAGCTGGAAGAGTGTATATGCTTGCTTGCTTGTTAAAGCCTCTTAGATCTTACTTCTCGAATGAAGTAGTCAAAGAATTGGAACAGGGAGAAGCTGAAAGGGACTTCTGGATAGTGACTGAGCCGAATGAAACTTCACTTCAAATCTCTTCTACTGCTGAAAGTTCTACTGTGATTTTAAAAGATCTCGTACTGAAGTCCCTAGTTCATCAACCAGTGAGATATTGGGAAGGAAGAGGAACACGGAAGAGGAAGAGGAAGCAGAAGATTGAGGCTGTTTCCTACCGCCCACCTTGAGGACAAGGTGGATGTTTAGGGAGGGAGTATTGATAGGGATCTACCTATATTAGGAATTGGGCCTAATAGACTGTTAGAGTGTTAGGATTTGGGCCTATTTGAGCAAGAATAATACTAAGTGTATTAGACTACTATAAATAGAAGGAAGGCTGGGAGGGAAAAGCAGGCGTTTGGACCTTTTTCTAGGATTGGGAAGACTGAGAATAATAATCTCTTTCTTTGGGAAGCTTCGGCTTTTGGGAGCTTCGGCCATCGTTTCTTGTTACTGTTCTTCATCAATAAAGCTTTTCTATATTGTTTCTTGATATTCTTTCCTGTAATTGTTCTGAATTCTTTGAGGTTCCTATCAAGTAATCATAAACAAGTTAATATTTCAAAAAATTTAAAATAACAGAACGTAACGATAGCCTAACCAGTTCCTTTGAGAAGGACAATATCACTTGCATCTCCTGCCAAAACTCCTACTTCTATCTGAAAAAATGATTTATTGAATTTAGGCATCATAAATGAAAAATGTACAGTATTTGACATTGGTTAATCTCACCTGATAGCTTCAGGTGAGGATAATAGTACATTAGTACCTAATGTTTGCCTGTGTCACACTACAAGAAAAAGCTTTTTTTTTGCTTTAATATATACAAATAACTTATAGCTGAGCTTTACATTAATCAGAAAGTCCAAATTCAATGGCTTTCAGAGGAGAACGCTCATCATTTTATGCGAATAAAAAATCCTGATGCATAATAAATGAAAAAACGATTAATCCCAAGAAAATGATTAATCCCAAGTGGTTGTTAAATAGGTTAACACCCACTTGTTTTTGAAGGTGAGGAATAACTTGTTCATACAAATTTAATAATCTCATAAGCATTACTTTACTCAAAGGAATGTACAATCATTTTAATTCTTTAGAAGTTCATTTTAATTCTTTCATCCTCACTTATGATGGAAAAGCTTAGGAACAGAGTAGCCCTCATAGACTGTACAAATCTCATTTGAAGTCATTATCTACAAAATTTAAGCTAATGTGAACAATCAATAGAAAGAGAACTAAAAATGGTTATACATACACAATCATCACATACCTGCTTCCGACACTTCACCTTTGAAGTCAAATAAACAGTCAGTCTGACTAGACAGCTCAAGAGTCTGAAATATTTGAATTGAATGAAGTATTATCACGATCAAAATGTTAGTTGGTCATTCCTTCATGTGAAATATCAGAAAATTTGAACCAATAATGAGACTGAGATTAATAAAACAAACCGATTGCAAACTAGAATGTAAACAAAGATCAATTCAAGATGCAAGTCTATATTAGGATTCAAATATATGAATAATGCAGTAGTAAATATAGAACTGGATTTTTTTTTCTATCAATAGAGATTTCAAAGCCTTCTGTAGACTGTTGAAGTTTCAAGGAGACGCCTACGGCAGAGGTCTTCTAGCGACGTTCTTCTTCTTACCGCAGGATGCCCGAAAATTGGCTCAAGTCGTCGACGTGCTTCAATGTATCGGTGTATTTCTCTCTTCCTGTAATGACCTAAGACTATTGCCAGTCTTCGATGTGCTCAGCGTTTTCCAGAGACCAGCGATGTCTTCCCAAGCTTGCTCCGCTGTTGCCGATGTGGGAGGGCCGCGCTTTGGAGACAAACCTTAGATGAAATTCCTTTCTTAGGTAATAGTTAGTGTAGGTTGTTTTAGCAATTTCAAAACTCAAATACTTTGTAAACATTGTTTGTAAATATTATTAGCATCAACATGTATATTATTCGCCAACATATTTTCATAAATTTTTAGTAAACTCTTTGGTGTGCACAAGTTGACGCAAAAGACTAGTTATTTGTGTCCACATATGTCGATGCAAAAACTTTAGACGCAAATAATGTTTTTTCTTGTAATTAGATGATTAGAATAGGTGAAGACCCGACTCCGTGGTGAAATCGGTTGCTGTGTAGATTAGATGGAAACTAAGAACTCTGCTGCGTAGAATAGTTTTTCAGGAGATCGATCTGGAATTCTGGAGTATTACCGGCTAATGAACAAAGCGTTTAATTTGTATGTACGAGACTTCGGCAAACTTCATTTGAGTTGGGCTGGAACCAAATGCGTTTGATGAGTCAAACTGAAATAGAAATTAAACTTTAGAGCCTATCTGGTAGCATGAAAATGAGCTGATTTGATTAAAGTGGTTGCATTGAATGATTTTGCTCATTTAAAAATAAAATATTTCAACAATGCTTTTATAAATCTACTGTATTATTTGATTTTTTGTGACGTACACCGCGACGCAGAGGAGGGTGAAGTAAAGATAACTTTATATTGTTAAGAGATGCTTATCACTTTTTTTTATCTCTTTACGCCTCAATATTTAACAAAGGTAGGATGTCTATCTCAAGGTGTGGTTGATATGTTTGGAACGGCCAGCCAACATTAATTATTGAAGAAGCTAACCACCACTACGACACACACATCCATGTATATATTCATATTCATATATATATATATATATATATATATATATATATATATATATATATATATATATATAAAGAGGGCTCTTCTCATCAGGCCGGCCTGACGGGCTGCCCCGTCCGGCCGAGCCCGTTTGAGCACCTTCCCGGTGGAATTTTTTGATGAAATTTTTTGAGCATGTTCCTCATCAAGTCTAGTTTGTCCATACCAAATTTCAGCTCAAAATTCGATCGGGAAGGTCGTCAAATGATTTTTGCAAGTTAACTGGTCCGGAAAATACATATTCCGGACCAGTTAACTTGCAAAAATCATTTGACGACCTTCCCGGTCGAATTTTGAGCTGAAATTTGGTATGGACAAACTAGACTTGATGAGGAACATGCTAAAAAAATTTCATCAAAAACTTCCACCGGGAAGGTGCCCAAACGGGCTCGGCCGAACGGGGAAGCCCGTCAGGCCGGCCTGACATGAAGTTTCTTCTATATATATATATATATATATATATATATATAGAATACAAATTATATAACTGTGTTAAGCATATATATATATATATATATAATACAAATTATATAACTGTGTAAAGCACATATATATATATATATATATATATATATATATATATATATGTTTTGGTTCAAATAAGAACATGATCTTATGAGAAAAATGAGAACGAATCTGGACCGTTAGATTTGCCTCAAGTGAAATTAAGTGTGCACTAGATGAAAATGTAATGTGCATTAGGTGAAATTGAAATGTGCATCACAAAGGGTACGATAGAGTGACATTATGTGTAGTTGAATTGTGCATTACGTGAAATTGAAATGTGCACTAGGTGCATATATATATATATATATATATATATATATATACATACATACATATATATACACACACACACACAAATGTTCAGGTCAGGAGTTCCTGACCGGAACCGCCGTCCGGACCGCGGCGTTTGCCCGCCTTCCGGGTGGAATTTTTTGATGAAATTTTTATCACATGTTCTCTATAAAGTGTAGTTTATCCACACAAAAATTCAGCCAAAAACTCAATCGGGAAGGTCGTCAAATAATTTTTGCAAGTTAACTGGACCAGTTAACTTGCAAAAATCATTTGATGACCTTCCCGATTGAGTTTTTGGCTGATTGTTTTTGAGGATAAACTAGACTTGATGGAGAACATGTCATAAAAATTTCATCAAAAAAAGCCACCGGGAAGGCGGCCAAACGCCGCGGTCCGGACGGCGGTTCAGGTCAGGAACTCCTGACCGGATCATTACTCATATATATATATGAGACATATATACATACAATATTCAATTCAATAAATTATAGTGATTATATGAAATTTGTGCTCATCTGCACGGGAGTGTTATTCTTGTCCTTGGCCCTTGGGCATCGGCATTGTTTGTATTATAACAAGCAAACATCGTATGATTGACAACATGCATGTGCATGGTGGCCGGAGTGAGAAAGGGTATGGAATCTGGGAAGATGGATATTCAGATGGAGGATATTCAAGAAGTATCACCTCTTCAAGTATCATTTCCTTCAAGTTCGGATGTGTTGGGAGATGAATTAGAATTAAGCAACGCCTATAAGGCTGTAAGAAGGCTTCTTACAGACCGTGAACTGTTGGACCGTATTGCAGATCCTACTTACTCTATTGCGGATCCCAATTGGAGTTCATCAAGTTCTATATTGGTTCCTAGAAGGAGTACTCGTCTTAAGGAAAAAAACTTTGACTCAGAAAAAGTAGGGTTGGTTTTTCAATATTTGTTGGGCTCCGGACCAGGCCCGAAGTATTGCTATACATCTTTTCCTTGTACTTTTATGTTTTTTTTCTTTTATTTCGCTTCTTGCACTGTAATTTTTTATTTTATGAATAAAAAAAGTAACTTAACAAAAAAAAAAAGAAGGTAACAACTGAAAATTCTAAAAGTGCTAAAATATGTTTTTGTAACTCTTATTCATACTATCTGTGGTTCAATGATGTTCTAATTTTGAATAAATTGTATATGTATAGTCCATGGTTCTTAACCATTGACGAAGCTGATTGGAAAAGTCTTTGTTCAAGTTAGAGTGTGATACTGTTTTTTAATCGGAAGTCTTTGTTTATTAAGTTCAAGTTAGGGAGTGATTGAAATTATACCAAGCAAGTTCAGAAAGTGATAATGTTTATTTATTTGAATTATTTAAATCTAAATTAAAAAGGATATAATGATTTGGACCAATCAAATGCATGATAGGTAATATTCCCGCAACCTTAAAAGTGCTTAATGTAACTCTCTTAAGACATATTTGCCCTTTTTTATTTCTTTATACCATAGCACTACGTAGTAAACATGAGAATCGGATGAGTATCCTGTCTACAAAAAGGCCATGTTCTATATGTTCTCAAACATTCTTTTAAATTCGTAATGTTTTAAGAAAATTACTAAATGAACTTTAAATTGTGTGTTATTATTAGATAAGTTATTAAAAAAAGTTATTATTTACTCCTATCTGCTTTTGATGTTCTATGAAAAAATGACATGTATATTACTGACAGAATATTACATGAAAAAAATATGATCAATTATATTTTTGGACAAAAATATGACTAATCACTGAAAACTAGTCACTAAATATGTCACAGTTTTGGAAAATTTTAAAATATGTAATAGTTTTGATTTTTCAATTTAACTAGCTAGTCATTATCGTATATGTTTTACTATTATCTAAGTAGGAACCTAGTCTGATTTGGTATGCAATTGAAATTAGTCTAAAAAGTATATCATTCACAACAATACATGATTAAGAGCCTGTATGGTAGCACGAAAATCGGTTGATTTGGCTGATTCTGCTAGAATTTATGAAGTTCGGGCTGAAGTGGCTGAATTAGATGATTTTGGTGATTCAAGAAAAAATTATTTTTCAAATATATTTTATTAGTAAATTATAGAAAAAATTATATGTAAAATAGTTAAAATGATCATCTACAGTAACTTCAGCCAATACAGCCAGAAAAATAACTTTAACCTTACTTTTTTTGCGCTTATTACACAATTCAGTGCGCGAAAACAAAAGTTACGTGTTTGGTGAAAAAGTTAGTTGCTAAGTCTAATAAGCCAAAAAATGACTTGTTTATATTAATTTATTTTTTATATTTAAAAGCATAGATAAATTAAAAATATTACTGTTACATTTTAATTCTAAATTATAAAATAACTTAGGTGAAACTAACTACTACGTAATCAATAAGGACAGATAATCAAAATAAAGAAACACAATATAAGTTTTGTAGGAAAAGAATTATAAAGTGGAACAAAGAAAAGAGATATAAACATGACCTCTGCTTAGAAGTAGCGGATCAAAAAATTAAAGCAGGGACAAAATTGTAAGACAACGGTGCAAATTGGGTGCGCCAAGCAGAAACGGGGTGCGCGCAGCAGGACCGTTTCAGAAAGTGATACTTATGTAAGTTTTAACTGAGTAATAATTATTGAATTAATGTTTGTTTGGTCGTTTTGTTGAGTTGCTTTAATTTAAATTAGTTGATTTGATTTTGCAACTGAATAAGTGACTTTGAATCCCTACAGTATGACATACTCACCCAACTTTGTTGAATTGTGATACATTTTATTTGTTGAAGGTGTCAAAGCTGCTACGATGATCTATGGTGCTTGTGATATTGACCATTTGGCCTAAGGAAGCACCTTTTTAGTTGTCTACTCCATGTTAAAGAGGTACTATTTCCACATCAAAATGGTAAAGGTATCCTAATTTGTACCCCAATTTGCACTTTCACCCTATTTTTGTGGCTCACAAAAGCAACTCATTAAATTAAAGTGGAGCAATTCATTTATTGAAGTGGACTTTAATTTTGTGAGCCACACATTATTGAATTAATGTTTGTTTAATTTGGTCATTTTGTGGGTTAAGGGGCAATTAGGCCACTAAGGTATACCTTAAAGAGCAAATAAGACACTAAGCTTAATTTTGGGGCAAAAATCACACTTTTAATAGTTATATTATCAATTTAGCCACTCATTAACGTTTCTAACGGAAGCCAACAACTTCTCCAGCCATGCTCAGTTAAATTTCTAACTTGGGATTGAAATTTAAATAGAAAAACGTGAGCACTAAAATTAAAAAGAATACCACAAAATTTAAACCGAAATTCTAGAGCTTTTAGCCTCCAAGAATGACATCTCTGATTAACTTAGAATTCTTATGCTTGTCAAACGCACAAGAAAATTCCCATTATACTTTAGCAAATAACACATCTTTGTATTACTGAATAATGTGTTAATATTTTACTCTTAATTCAATTTGAGTAAATGTACTGTGATGCTTTCATATTTGGGTAATTTCCACACCAAGTTAATTGCAATTTCTAAATTACTCATTGTATCTTATACGGAGTAAAATATAATGAACATTATATATTTATATTTAGATAGAAAATTTGGAAAATTATTATAAATTCATAAAAAGAACAATTTAGTCTTACGAAATAAGCAAATGCTAAACGAATAAGTGACTTTGAGTAATAATTATTGAATTAATGTTTGTTTGGTCGTTTTGTTGAGTTGCTTTAATTTAAATTAGTTGATTTGATTTTGCAACTGAATAAGTGACTTTGAATCCCTACAGTATGACATACTCACCCAACTTTGTTGAATTGTGATACATTTTATTTGTTGAAGGTGTCAAAGCTGCTACGATGATCTATGGTGCTTGTGATATTGGCCATTTGGCCTAAGGAAGCACCTTTTTAGTTGTCTACTCCATGTTAAAGAGGTACTATTTCCACATCAAAATGGTAAAGGTATCCTAATTTGTACCCCAATTTGCACTTTCACCCTATTTTTGTGGCTCACAAAAGCAACTCATTAAATTAAAGTGGAGCAATTCATTTATTGAAGTGGACTTTAATTTTGTGAGCCACACATTATTGAATTAATGTTTGTTTAATTTGGTCATTTTGTGGGTTAAGGGGCAATTAGGCCACTAAGGTATACCTTAAAGAGCAAATAAGACACTAAGCTTAATTTTGGGGCAAAAATCACACTTTTAATAGTTATATTATCAATTTAGCCACTCATTAACGTTTCTAACGGAAGCCAACAACTTCTCCAGCCATGCTCAGTTAAATTTCTAACTTGGGATTGAAATTTAAATAGAAAAACGTGAGCACTAAAATTAAAAAGAATACCACAAAATTTAAACCGAAATTCTAGAGCTTTTAGCCTCCAAGAATGACATCTCTGATTAACTTAGAATTCTTATGCTTGTCAAACGCACAAGAAAATTCCCATTATACTTTAGCAAATAACACATCTTTGTATTACTGAATAATGTGTTAATATTTTACTCTTAATTCAATTTGAGTAAACGTACTGTGATGCTTTCATATTTGGGTAATTTCCACACCAAGTTAATTGCAATTTCTAAATTACTCATTGTATCTTATACGGAGTAAAATATAATGAACATTATATATTTATATTTAGATAGAAAATTTGGAAAATTATTATAAATTCATAAAAAGAACAATTTAGTCTTACGAAATAAGCAAATGCTAAACGAATAAGTGACTTTGAGTAATAATTATTGAATTAATGTTTGTTTGGTCGTTTTGTTCAGTTGCTTTAATTTAAATTAGTTGATTTGATTTTGCAACTGAATAAGTGACTTTGAATCCCTACAGTATGACATACTCACCCAACTTTGTTGAATTGTGATACATTTTATTTGTTGAAGGTGTCAAAGCTGCTACGATGATCTATGGTGCTTGTGATATTAGCCATTTGGCCTAAGGAAGCACCTTTTTAGTTGTCTACTCCATGTTAAAGAGGTACTATTTCCACATCAAAATGGTAAAGGTATCCTAATTTGTACCCCAATTTGCACTTTCACCCTATTTTTGTGGCTCACAAAAGCAACTCATTAAATTAAAGTGGAGCAATTCATTTATTGAAGTGGACTTTAATTTTGTGAGCCACACATTATTGAATTAATGTTTGTTTAATTTGGTCATTTTGTGGGTTAAGGGGCAATTAGGCCACTAAGGTATACCTTAAAGAGCAAATAAGACACTAAGCTTAATTTTGGGGCAAAAATCACACTTTTAATAGTTATATTATCAATTTAGCCACTCATTAACGTTTCTAACGGAAGCCAACAACTTCTCCAGCCATGCTCAGTTAAATTTCTAACTTGGGATTGAAATTTAAATAGAAAAACGTGAGCACTAAAATTAAAAAGAATACCACAAAATTTAAACCGAAATTCTAGAGCTTTTAGCCTCCAAGAATGACATCTCTGATTAACTTAGAATTCTTATGCTTGTCAAACGCACAAGAAAATTCCCATTATACTTTAGCAAATAACACATCTTTGTATTACTGAATAATGTGTTAATATTTTACTCTTAATTCAATTTGAGTAAACGTACTGTGATGCTTTCATATTTGGGTAATTTCCACACCAAGTTAATTGCAATTTCTAAATTACTCATTGTATCTTATACGGAGTAAAATATAATGAACATTATATATTTATATTTAGATAGAAAATTTGGAAAATTATTATAAATTCATAAAAAGAACAATTTAGTCTTACGAAATAAGCAAATGCTAAACGAATAAGTGACTTTGAGTAATAATTATTGAATTAATGTTTGTTTGGTCGTTTTGTTGAGTAGCTTTAATTTAAATTAGTTGATTTGATTTTGCAACTGAATAAGTGACTTTGAATCCCTACAGTATGACATACTCACCCAACTTTGTTGAATTGTGATACATTTTATTTGTTGAAGGTGTCAAAGCTGCTACGATGATCTATGGTGCTTGTGATATTAGCCATTTGGCCTAAGGAAGCACCTTTTTAGTTGTCTACTCCATGTTAAAGAGGTACTATTTCCACATCAAAATGGTAAAGGTATCCTAATTTGTACCCCAATTTGCACTTTCACCCTATTTTTGTGGCTCACAAAAGCAACTCA